ACATGTGGACCATCCGCCACCGAGCCTTCCCTATGTAAAACTCGTAGGCACTTTTTTTGCCGTACGAAAGAAACTAAGCTTACATACCTTACTGCTGGTCCTTGATTAAATCGAACGCTGGGCATTGCAATGGCTCGCGTGGAATTCGAAACAATGAACAATGATAACCTCTCCCTGAATAAACGTTGGTTTGATGAAAAATCTCGCGACGCTAATCAACATGGCCGGGCTTGATTCGAACGAGCGTTGTCTGCTGAACGTTGATTCATCTCTAGTAATGGTTTGCAAATACGGACCATCCGCCACCGAGCCTTCCTATGGGGACCGGCATCAATCGATCCCGAAGCGGCAGCTTTGGCCCTGTTTGGTTCGCAGAGGCCATCCGTTCCAACTTCGCAGATGTTATAACACTTTTCCACCACCAGTTAAAGATGATTTGAGTCGGCAGTTCAAAATTAAATTGACTAAACATCACAAGTACGCAGCCCAATCTTTCAATTACAACAATGGCGTAAGTTTATAGAGTGTTCCTACCCCAAATTACAGATAACTTTGTAAGATAACACATTTGAAGTGATTGGGCTGCGTAAAGTTATGGAGCACCCAATTTTGACCAAATTTCCCTGCAGAAATGTGAAGATTCATTGAGAATTGAGTAAGTTATAAACTTTTTGCGATGAGAGGTCAAACGCGTACGGTCACAACGTGACATCATCAATATTCAGACGACGCGTCGACTTTTTTCCTTCCCCTCAGCGCCCCCAACACCAGCTAGGACGTGAAGACGACGGTTTCGACTCTAGAGACTCAGCTGGACGGAAAATTGAAGGCAATACAGCATGTAGAGCACCAACTTACCACCACCAAAGCTGTCACGATGTCTCGAGATACCACAATTACCTCCCTTCGTTCCATCATCGCAAAGAAACAGTCTGCTCTGACGTCTACCCGGAACGAACTCTATGCGGCTCAGAAACGTGATGAACGCGCGAAACGGGCTTTGAAGGCCGCCAAGCAAGCATATAATGATCTTCGCATCTGGAAACCGCGGCACGGTGGACAATACAGCGCGACAGCACGAGAGCTGACACGAAGCCTTACCCACGCCAGATGTGCGGCTGAGAAGATTGCATTCGCTGTAAAGAGCTGTGCTGCGGCATTCAAGATTGAAATCAAGAGGAACCACTTCATGAGTGCGCGTACCGTTGCACGCGCAATTGACAAGGGCAGAAAATACGGGGAGATACAACTGGCGCGAGAAATTTTGGAAGCACCCGGTATGTGTTCTTGGCCGTGTTTCGGGCCCCTCTTAATTCTGATCATTCTTAGGGTTTGTCGAGAGCTCAGACGGTACCACACACCGTGGAATAACCGTCGAATCGCGCCACATAACTCTGCTTGTCCCGTCCTACGCACCTGATGCTGACGATTCCGATAAATCAACATGGGTACATCGTACGCGGTTCATGGAGGTGGCGCCGGCTCTGGATCACACTGGGCAGAGTCAGTTTGAAGGGACACGCAAGGTGGCCGAACGCATTGCAGACACGTACAGCCGGAGTCCGCTTGCAGTTCAAGAGAAACGACTTATGGACAAGAATGATTATTGGAGGAAGAAGATTGGGGAGAGCAAAGATCATGCGGCGGATGGGAAGAAGGAGTTTAATTTTTCGGCAGCACACAAGAAGGAGATCATTATCCGCGACATGGGCCGTGCTGCAATGGACGACGTGGATATCCAAACTGGCATCATTCTCCTGGCCATGTTGGATATTACGGACGACGATTTAATGTCCGTTGGGAAGGTTTCCGAGTCGGAATTCGAAGTTTTGTAAGGATCGTTATAATCTGCTTTGGCACCTATCTCATTTCTCTTTTCACAGATCAACGCAAGCACGCTCCGAACTCACTGAGCAGGTGCTTGAACTCAAACTTGGAGAGGAGAGGTTCAACATACTCACTCCAGATGAGCAATGCAATAAGTGCACACACCTTTATGGCGGATGCTGTTGCCATAAGGATTTGAATGTCGTCAGATACGGGTATTGCGCAATCCAACGTATCTACTCTACTCATGATATCCCCTCCCCAGTTCTTCTCGCAAACAAGGCTAACGCGGCAATCATTGATCTTGGGACGGACGATCCAGGGGATAGCGCAGCAGTCCAGAATGCGGTCGAGTCTAGCTCTTCTGGCGCCATCAAACTACTCCAATTGATTGGTGCACTGTTACGACACAAGGATGGCGAACGTGGCTACCAGGACCGTTGCACCATCTTTCTGCGTGAGCGGAAGCTCAAACTCCTCGATCTGGAAGAACCCGGAAAGTTTCCCGATGTCTCGAACAACCGCTACGGGTGCTATACATATGCTGCGGCGGAGGTTGTTTGCTTTCACGGGATTATTCAAGAACTTGTCACAGAGATTATTGACGGTAAAACGAAGGCTGGCCAGAAAAACCACGTCGAGGCGAACATCTTGAAGGGACTGAACTGTGCTGTTACAATGACTGAGCTGGTGGCGCTCGCGCTCTACGGGGCTTCGGTTTCTTGGCCTTATATGGCTGCCGTTGGGACGAAGGACAGGCCGATCAACCTCGTGTCTCTAATGCCGCTCCATCGAAAACTCCCTGACTTCTGTGCTTACATTGCTGCTAATCCTAAAATCCTGCTGGATTCAAAGACACCGCTCGACAAACTCACGATCAATGCCGAGCCTTTCGCAGACGAGTTTCTTATCGAGTCTATTCAGCAGCTTCGTTCCGACCTTCCCAACCTCGAACTCGTTGTGGAAGTGCCTATCGGCACGCTCGTCGCTAGTGCATTATATTGCACATGGCGCGGGTTCCAACCGGGTGTTAACAGCCACGTCTCATTTTATATCTCCTCTCGAGCACACTGATTATCTTCTTTTCTCCCTCCACTCCATTCCGTCTAGTAATTCTCCTCCGAGCCCACTCACCACACTCGCGCTCCATCGAACCGCGCATCAGCAAGTCATGTGACCGCGACCTCAAGAACGCGTCGAGCGCATATCCGCGATATACCCGGGTTGGATGGGAGGCTGGCGAGTTGCTCAATTCTATCTATTTTTCCTCATCATATTACACGTTCTGATACATTATTCCTCCTCCCATCCCTATCCCTCTCCATCGACAAATACCGCGCGAGTATATCCCGAGATTACGCTGGCTCGGCGTGCGCTAGGGATCGACACGTCGGAGACCTGGGCAGTCTCTCGACAGCGCTGTTCGGGGGCAGTTGCGTCTCCCTATCAAGTCTTTTGCGCACGACCCGGCCAGTTCACTGATCAGAGGTGTATTCGCAGGTATTCTATTTCCTTATTCATTCAACGGACTATTTATATCATTTCACACCACCGACACTCTACTTACCCATCTGTTTGTATTCCGGTCGCTCGGCATGGGCTCTGGTGACGCACGAGTACGCGTTTCAGCCACCCCGATCGTAGTACTTAAGCTGTTTAATTGCAACCGATAGGGGACTTCTCCCTTCTTCCTCTCACCACCACCATCCCAGTTTCTCTCTGAGTTTTGAGCACCTTTCTTCAAGTCCCGAGCGTCCTCCGAGTTGGATCAGTTACCTAGCGAGTCACCCATCGAGAATTACACCACAGCTGAGTCTATATATATCATCATTACGGCTGTTAGCTACACTACGGCTATTCTGCAGGCACACGCTCGACCAGCTTCTCTCTGTTCCTACCCCGGGACAAGCCTTTCTTCTACATCGTCATTTCAAACATGTTCTCCGGTGCCCAGGAGGGGTGGTTACAGTTTACGCCCGAATTTCGTCCTGGCGGCACTTTTGACAGCCTAACTCCGTGGCAACTCGCAATTCTTCATATTCCCTCCACCAATGATTGCAGTGAAGGGATGCTGGGCACGTTCCGTGTCCACATGCGCTATCACCCCAACAGCACCGCCCACTCCTTCACCAATCAAACGCACACCGAGCGGAATAATACTGAAGCCTTCGTAAAGAAGCATTGCGACAAAGATGTCGAGAAGTATGTCATGCGGGAGGTGCGGAAAGATGGGAAAAGCAGTCGACGAGCCAACTTTCGGCGGCAATGGCTTGAAAAACAGCGGGAGAAAGCGGAGAGAGGACGCGCACGGCTTCTAAAAGCTGCACTCAAGAAGAAGTCCGCTGCTGATTGACTTGCGGCCACCATTCTCGAGTTTGATGTTCGCAAGATCCAGGAGATGTCTTCGCGCGACCTTAAAGCCCAATTGCACGTCTACCGCGATTCTCTGAAGGATGGGGTGCTTTCAAAGATTTTGTGGAAACACATGGCGACCGTTGCTGTGCGTAGGGAGTTGGTTTTGGAGGCGCGAGAACGGGAGATTGCACGCCGGTAAGTCACCAGATTGAAATCGCTATCTGGTTTCTGATCACTTTCAGTGCGCAAAGTACTTCCGGAGCTTCCCCAAAGGCAGTCTGCACCGACGAAGACATTGTGGTGAACGAGTTTGGGTATTCTGTCGACGAGGAGGAGGAGTGGCAGGGAATTGCTGAATAAATTATTTATTTTTGTTCTGAGTGTGCTTTCCTTTCGTGGCGGGGCATAGAAACCAAGAATACAAACAACTTTCACTTCTATACCTAATCCATATCTTGTCTGTGGAAGACAGAAATCGTCGGAACATGGAGTTTTTAATTTTAGCAGGGCACAAATAAAGCCAAAGCTGCCGCTTCGGGATCGATTGATGCCGGTCCCCACTTCCTATTCTCCCTCTCAGTGTCTCACTCGTAGGCAAGCTCCGGTTAGTATGCCTGCAGTGCAGGGAAAAGCAGTCTGACCTTCAATTTACGTGTTTATGATGTGTGTAAACTTGCGAGCAAGAGCCACTACGGTTCCGACTCAGATTCTATGTGTAGCCCATTCGAGCTATCTGGAATCGGAACCGTCCGAGAGAATTTGCTTGGATAAAAAGTGTTCTGCGTTGGCTTGAGAAAAAAGCTCGCAATGCAGTCCCATGACTCGGGCTTGAATCGAACGAGCGTCGTCTGCATATTATCAATCAGCTCAAGACACATTAATATATTGCAGATGCGGACCATCCGCCACCGAGCCTCCCTAGCCTCAAGCTATCAATAGGTCCCCAAATTAACTTCAGGTGGAAGAATCTCCGATCAGTAAGTAATACGTTAATCCCTCGAGTATTTCCGCGCTCCAAACCCGCTATCACACAACTAGAGTCCTAGTTGCATTCGACTCCGTACTTATGCCTCCACAGAATCAAAAACCAGAAAGCGGAGTTGAAATGGACATTCAACACGCGGCTTGTTTGCGCGTGTTGACTGGCACGTGTCCGCGCGATTCGGGAGCCTTCCATTAGACGACGACGAAAGCGCGCCCGGCCTCGGCTCGGCTCGCACACGGGTCCCCGTCTTGTCAAAGCGCAGGGTTCTGAGGAGGGGGGGACCGCGATCCCGTTAATAAGGATGGCGACCGCTACCGAGGAAGGGCGCTCCCGTCCGCATCCGCGCCCGCGCGCTTCAAGGGCTATTTTTTGGCCTGCAGTGGGCGTTAGCTACGCGTCCGCAAAAGGAAGACGAGGAACAGCCCACGGAATCATCAACTGGTTCACAAGCGCGGGCAAAAGCACCGTATCCACCTTCCCCAGCTCCCCCAGCCCCTCGAGCGTAGAGTCTGTGTCCGTGCCCGGCTTCACCTCGGGCGTCGCGTCCGTTTCCGGCTTCCCTTCGGGTGTCGGGGCGGGTTTCTTCAACTCTAGCGTCGTGCCTTACCCCTCCACTTCTTCCCTCGCCCTCCTTCGCCCTCTCTTCCTTCTCCCTCGCGAGTTTCAGCACCCGATCGACCTCCTTCTCCCGCGCGCCGCACTCCCTCTCCTCCTTCCTTCTCTCCGCCTCCTTCTCCCAATCCACCACCAGCTCCCTCCCGATGCCACGCTCCTCCCCCCTCGCCCTCACCCTCGCCTTTTTCATTTCTTTCGACACCCTTTCCCTTTCCCTCACTACCCTCGCCCCCTCCACCAGCCTCCACCAATCCACCTCCCTCGCGCCTCCCTCCTTCGCCCGCTCCTTCTCCATCTCCAGCATTTTTGTCTTTGCCCCCGCCACCAGCCTCCCCCAGTCCACCTCCCTCGCGTCTGCCTCCCTCCCACGCCCCCAATTCAGCCCCCGCCGCCCCGCTCCCCGCCTTCCCCTTCCCGTATTCAGCAGAGGCCACGCCCTCCTTGCCCCCGGGCCCGCGTAAAAGTGCATGCCCGCGGGCGTAGCGTCCGTGTCCGTGTCTGCCTCTGTCTCGGTTTCCTTCACGCCTCCCTCGTTCTCGTTCTCCTCCACGCGTCCCTCCTTCTCCATCTCCATCTCCATCTCCCCCACCCGTACCCCACCCCCACCCCCCATCGGCCCCGCCCTTGCACAGGGATCCGCGTAAAAGTGCATGTTGCCCGCGAGATACCGCGTGGGGTGCGCGACCGCCGCATGCGTGCGCGCCGTGAGCGCGTCGTCTGCGCGTGCGAAGTGGATGAAGGCGATGCGCCGGGTTTTTCTGAGGGGTTGGGTTCGGTTAGTGATTAAACGGAAAAGAAGAGAGGGGACGGGGAAGAAGGAAGGATGGAGGAAGGGGGAATAAGGAGCGGAGGAAGGAGGAGGGAAAGAGGAAGAGGAAAAAGGAGGAGCAAGGAGGAGCAGGAGGAACACGTACGAATGCTGACGGACGCGAACCAGGGTGCCAAACACGCCAAAGTCTTCGCGGAGCTGCGCGTGCGGGAGGCCCTGTGAGTGGAAGACGCGCACGGACAAGACGCGTGTATAGTCTATCGGCTGCGGTGTGATGAGCGCGGCGGGCTGCGGCGTCACGGCGATCTCCTGCCCGAAGATCGTGAATGGGTGCGCCTGCGTGCCGGCGTAGAAGTCGCGCGCGTCTTCCGTGCGGAAGAAGGAGATTTCCTGCACAAATGAATAAAATTGAATTAAGTAAATTGAATGTAAAATGGAAAGGGAAGGAGTAAGGGGGCACTGACGGCGGTGTTGTCCTCGCGCAGCTCGATGGAGTATAGGGGGCCGCCGTAGACGCAGTCGCAGAGGTTGTGCAGGGTGGTGTTCGGGGGGAGGGTGCTTAGCGCGAGGGTGGTGAACGGGCTTTGGATGCCCGCGGCGGCGGGAAAATACGTCGGGGCGTGGCGTGGCTCCTGCTCGAGCGCCTCGTCGATGGCGGCGAGCGACGGCGGGGGCGCCTCGCACCGATCCGTGCCGTACGCGACGTGCACCTGCAGCATAGCCGGGTCCGCGCGGATGCGCGCGTGCGCCTGCGGGCTGCGTCAGCCAAGATCGAGGGCGAACAACAGAAAAAAACTCACGCGAATCGCACTCGCGATGTCGGCAAAGTGCACCACGGCGACCTCGTTGTAGCCCTTGTCCTCGCCCACCTGCTGCACGACCACCTGCTCCACGTGTCCCGCGCCCGCGAATTCCAGGTACGCCTGTAGTTGCGGCGCCTCCCAGCGGTCTTGCCGTTCGCGCGATTTGTACAGAAACAGGGCGCGCCGCGCGCGGTCGCGTGCCACCGCGGCTCCGACCACCGGATCTAAAGGACGGTACGGGAGCCAGGCACAGGCGAGTTGGTGGCCGGAAAAGTTCAGCGACGAGCTTGAGGTGAGGAAGCGCGCGGCAGCGGTCCCAGAGAGAAAGGAGAGGTGCGCGCGGGGTGGCTCAGAGTTTTCCGGAGCGGCGATGAGTTCGGCGGACTCGAGAGGGCCGGTGTGGACGCGGTCCAGAAGGTACTCGAGCTTGATCTGGGGCGGGAGGTTGGTCATGGCGAGGGCGCGGCGAATGAAGGGCGCATCGTCGGGCCCGACGACGCGCTCGGTGCTCAGGATGTCCGTCAACGGTGTGGAGGAGATCCCCCGGATGCGTCCTCGCAGCGTCGAGAGACGACAGTACAGCGCCCGCCTCAGCCAGCCATTCATTCAGGAAGAAAGGAAAACTTTAAGCGCGAACACGTGTCGGTCAACATGCGCAAATAAACGCGTTCCAGTGCTCTTTTCTTTTTTGAAATTTGGGAACCTAGCTTGATTCTGGAGCAGGATAAAAGTCTCAGTGGCGGATGATCCACATCTGTGAATACTGCTGGACCTTTCAAAGTGTTGCGTAGAAGATGCACGATGTTTTAATTTCGTTAATGTCGCTCCTCCGCGACTATCTTTAGACACCTGATTCTCGGGCGTTGTGATCCGTTTTTGGAAAGGATCCACAAGCCTAGCTCCAAGGAAACCCGTTGCATTATTTCTTTTCCAAGATCTGGCGAATCCTGGGTTCATTTGTTTTGCGACAACTCGCTGGTGTTCTCCAAGTTTTCGTCATTTCATCGATGAGTCTGTTCAAGAGTCTGTTGCCACAGCATGTCTTGTCGCACTATTTTAATATGTTCTCGTTATCGCGTGCTCCGTTGTCCGGTGTTTAGGGATTTGCCAACGAGTTAACGACAGCGCTTTAATTTCGTTACATAATGTTGCTCCCTCGTATCCACAGCTCTTCGACAGTGTGGGCGAAAAGCTGCGAAAATAAGTGAACGGTAAAGTCTTGCCTTCGTGATGTCGAATCACACAGTGTAACTGGGATCCAAAGTTCTGTTGAAGTACGTATCCTTCGATTCAGGCTGTCGGATAGATACAGCGCCGCGCGATTTTCTCTCGGCCTCAATCGATACAGGGACGATCCATGTGGTGCAAGGAAACGTGGTAGGATCCGTGGAGGGAGGAGTTCAAATTGCACCAAGCTTAGCGAATAGATTTTGATTCGAGAGACGACAACAACAATAGCGTCTCCATTCTCAAGTCGTCCCATGCAAGTCCCATCGCCCAATTATAGAATCCGATAGATGGCCATCGCACCCAACCGCGGTGGTCGGAGGCCTCAGCGAATCCCGGACATCATATGTAACTAAACCTGGACCGATGAAAATTAACTTCCTTCCAACTGGTTACTGGGTAGCGATCCATCGCGCCCTGGCTCACTCAGGGTGATGCATCGCGGGTCACGTCCCTAGAGTTCAGTGCGAGCTGTATGTAGGGGTCGTATCGTGCCAATATTGCCCCTGACTGCGTCCGACCGGCCGTCCAAGCTAGAATTAACAATGTGATATTCATCTACGTACATACCTCGATGAACCCAGAAGAGAGAGAGAGACGAGTATCGTAAGAGTCGTTAGTATCGATATGATGTCATCAGCGCTTTAAACTGCTACCAAGCAAGATGCCGCATATAGGCGCGTGCGTGGCGATCGCCGACCCTGAAAGGCGTCAACGCGTTAACGCCGGCGGCTTCGCGGAAACAAAATGTATTGTATTGAGGGTCAGCGCTCAGCGTTGATTGGATCATGTACTGACTCAATCGAATCTGAGAGAATCGCTCGACACGGTGAATGATTAGGGCCTAGGGTTATCGGGCGCCTAGGAGAAATTTTATTTGGGAGAAAAGTTATTCAAGGAATCTGAGCTATTATCTCGAATCCCAACAGACAGTTCGCGACCTGTCAAATCTTTTGGGAAGTGTCACCCTGGGGACTCTTGGCCCTGAGAGTTAGGGATGTAAATTAGGGTGTGCACACCGCCTTTCTTGGTGCGCCACAGCGAAATGCGACGTGGGACGTGTATGCGCAGTCTGGAGTTTGCCTCGTTTTCGAGAGGCTCCGCGACCACATGAAGAGCCACAGACATTAATGTCGGGCGCCACAAAATGGAAAGGTCCGAGGAAAGACGTCTCTTTGTCTTTCCTCCCTTCCATAAATGCAAACCTAGAAGAAAAAAATGAGTCACTTGTTGCGAGAAGAATCCAGAACGCTCGAGTACGGCTCCACGGTTGGGAGCCAGCGCATTTAGCGAGTGTGATCCTGTTTTAGTCCGCCTTCCAACTAATTGGAGGCGGGAGGAAGGGAGTATGCTCAGCAGTAAAAGGCAGTGCAAGCCTGCAAGGAGCGGTTATTTTGGGTCCGCAAATCCTCATCAGTCGAGTAGCTCCATAGGGCTTCATGATGTTCTCTTGGTGATGTCAGTCATGAGTCGAGTAGCTCCATAAAGCTCCATGATGTTCTTTTGGTTATATGTA